GGGGGCTAAGTATTTCATTTGAGGTATTTCTCAAGCTGTTGCGCCAGTTTCGAACCGGCCATCTTGGAGTGAAACATCTGATCAAACCTCTCATTCTGCCCCACGGTGAAATGTCTCTTCCAGTCCCCTGTACTGCCCTTGCGGATAAATCCTTGCTGCTCGTCTTTCAAATACTCCCTGGTCAAAGCCCCCACGCCCCCTCTCAACACCTCCTTCTTCATGTTCTGGAACCGTGTGGCGTCTGCTATGTCCTCAGCCTTGTCGTCTGGCACCTGGAGAAAGCGGCATAACTCTTGTATCACTTCCGCGGGACGCTCTTTGAGCTCCTCAAACTGGATCACGCACACCGGAAGTTCTGGGTGCTCACTGATGAATTCTTCCACGGCTAACACGTGCTGGAACCAGGAGCCAAACAGAAACTCTCCATTCATCTGTGGGAGATAGACAGTAGGAACGTTAGGGATGGACACAGTAGATGTGGCAAGTGGGGACATTAGCGGTGGACACAGTAGATGTATCAAGTGGGGACATTAGCGGTGGATGGGCACAGTAGATGTAGCAAGTGGGGATATCATTAATTACCTAATTATCCACAGTAGATGTAGCTAGTGGGGACAGTAGCGGTGGATGGACACAGTAGATGTAGCAAGTGGGGATATAATTAATTACCTAATTATCCACGCCATAATCATGCTTCAATTACCCGTGGAAAGTTGAAAGTAGGAAAATAATCAGTGGACAAATCATGCGTTCTTCTTTTTCTTGTGGAAAGGAGAGAGTTGGGAAATTAACAGTGGACACAGTAGACAGTCTTCTTGCATTTGTAGGAGGCTGTAATTAAGCCCATATATGGGGAAAGAAAACTGATTTTCTAACCTATATTTATTCCTCCAGCTGATGGCTATCTAAGATAACAAAACAAAACCTCTTTTGTCAATAGACCAAGGGTAGGCTCTCTTGATTCACATCCTCATCCCTTATTCCAAAACTCATACATCATGTCCGTTTACCTTATTACTAATGCGATACCACTGCGATCTCTACGACACTTTCTGAAGATGTCAAGGAGCCTCCTGGGACTTCGAGTTGCCATTTTTGATAAGGCCCTGGGTTTTCGCTGCTTGAATAAAGCACTGTTTAACATTTCTACGTGGATGTGGGGCTTACATGTGTGTGCCCTTCGCCTATCTTGTGGGTTATACATGTACTGAAAATAGCAGACCAAGGGAGGGAGGCAGAGAGAGAGAGAGAGAGAGAAAGAGAGAGAGAGAGAGAGAGACAGACAGACAGACAGACAGACAGACAGACAGACATACATACAACTAC